GCTGATTCCAAAACTTACGAGTTCCCCATCTTCGTAATCATTGAACAAAAATCATTTTCATCCTTAGAAAGTTCTCACATCAACATATTCAAGAAATGGCATCTACCTTAGACTCATATGCTGATAAGTTATTGCGTATCATGCCAGAAACTTCATCAAAATCTCCCACTCTATCCTCTGCTTTGTTGAAGGAACTATTTGCAGTTGGCTCAGCAGATACTTGAGAAGACTGAAAGAAGAGTGGATAATATAATAAGTGTTGAACAAGAATTATAAATTGGTTGTAATTGGAACAAATAAAATGATGTCTAATATTCATGAAGTAAAAAATTACGACATATAATAATACTTAGATTAGGAAAAAAAAATATCAGTCCTCATAATTGGAGGGTTAGTCTTATAGATTGAAACTGTTGGTAGCTGTTAGAGACTACTTAATGATGTTTACCTTGTTGAGGAATAGCTAAAAAATATATCGAGATAGAAGAATATATAAATATTTACAGAAGTCCTGTTGGCTACCAAAGGGAATACAAGATAAAGATACATAACAACTCAAGCTTGTTACCAAGATGAAAGACCTGACAGCGATAATGATTAAACAATATAGCATCATAGACTAGATAATATACCTTGGCAAATTTTCCACTGGAAACTGAAAGTGCTGCTTTCCAAAAGACTGGTACATGATGGACAAGAACACCAGTTAACTGTGCAATATATCTACCTCGAAGAGCATCGAGTTCTTCACTAAATGTTTCTGCCGGGAATAAATCCCCAGCTAGATGGGAGCTTACGTCACTGAGAGAGTAATCCACAGCTGACTGATAATTATACATGAAAAAAGATTCAATTTGACCTAGATGGCAATTAACTTCAAACAAATCCAGTAATCTCATATCTTGCACTTACAGACTGGTTTATATGTAGCTGGATTTGCCTCCATTTCGCATCAGATAATGCTTTTTCACGAAGCTCATTCTGCAAATTCTCAACTCGTGCTTCATAGTCTAAACTGCATTTCTCAAGCAAGCCTCTTATTTTACGGTTCTGTCGTACAGTCAAAAACAAAAACTAAGCAAACTAATTGTCTTGACATGCAAGAAACTTATGTCAGAAAGTCAAAATAATAATATGGCTGTTGCAACACAGGAATGCAACAAAAATCTCATTACATACATTTAATAGTATGGATAACACAAAATTTAAATATGATGAGAAATGAATATAAAAGGTTATTGATAACAAAATTTGGTAAAAGAAAGTTGAACAGAAGCTTTTTAGAACAAAATTATGCTACGATGAACAGAACATAACTTTAGAAGATCATAATGAAGGACTGAAATTTCTCACCTGTATATTCAAGTAATGCTTTATGGGATCAGACTCAGGTTCAAGCTCCAGCAGAAGCCGCACATTATTTTCAAGCTACATGAAACATCAAGTACGGGATTAAGCTACCAGTCAAAGTTTACACAAAATACACAAAGGTACATGCTTAACCAAAATACTGAGCCACACAAAATGCTCTCTTTCAACAATTTAAGAAGTTTAATGATCAACATTAATTGCTTCCCATCCAATCTCAGCATGTTTAAAGAACTAAAAGTAAATTCCGTGACTCTAATACAACAAACAGCCCTGTTGGTGCTTGTGCGTTTACTTTCTGTTCTAATTTTATCGACGAGTGCACATGGACAAATCTGTAAGCGTGAGGGAAGAGGACTGATGCATAAACTCTTACAAAGATAAATAGTAATACCAAAGCACTAAAAGGCAAGCTTTTCAGAAGCAAGAAAAGAAATCAACCTTTTTGGGTGACATTTCAGCTTCACTCATCAAAAGGGGTAAACAACTTACACTTGAACTAAACCTATTCTGGGTGGCCATTTCTCCCTCCTACTTGAGAACCCCGGCAACCTAAAACTCTCAATATTGAAAATTTGACCAGTATAAGACCTTTAGGTGAAGTATCAAAACAAACCGGTCAACCACTCAATGCCAATCCCATCTAAAACATGCCCAACAGCATTTGTTAACTACCACACCAGAATAAAATGGCAATATTCCATGGGTTTGCTTGCCAGGAAAGTATTTCTAGAAAAGTATATAATAGATCTTACATTTGTTAGATCAATATCCGGATCTTCCATTGCCTTGTAAAGCATGCCTCTGAACTCCTGCATTACTTTTTCAACCTCCTCAAGGACACGTTTTAGAATTCCTACCTGTAAATTCAAACGGACTCAAAATATTCAACTTACCATCCTCAGTTTTTATTGAAGACGGGAAGTTAAATCCCGGCTGCCACTTCATTCATGAGTCTTATTCCAGTAAAAAGCTACTACATCATATGCAGGACATACCATAAGACAGAAAACAATTCGGACAAGAAACATGCATTATAATACGGTACGAAATGTCACTAAAACACCATACAGAAGGAAGATTTAAGTACGCAGTCATGAACACCTCATAGAAGCTATCAAGATTCGCACCTAATAATTGCAATGTGCTGAATTACATGTGAACTAATTTCATTATAACATTGCGAATGATGTATAAGAAGAAAAACATGAAATTGCAAAATGCTGTAACTATACCAAAAGTTTGACAACCAAAAAACTCGATATAACAAAGGATGATACTTGATATGGAATCGAGAGACATACATGAGAAGGAAGAACTATTGACTTTGCTTTCCTGTACTCTCTTACAGCTAAATCATATTCACCCTTGCTAATGTTAGCACGAATAGCACTGGGCAAGTTAAACAGTGTTCGGAACCTCTGAAGCATTCCTTGGACAGACCTAATCTTCTCTGCTTGGGCCTTGAAAAGTATCGATGGTTCAATTAGAATTTAGAATTATTTTAAGGATGACATACAATATCTCTTCAATGAACCGTATAGGATTTGACCACACCTACCTGTCTCTCAAATAGGGGACCAAAAGCACGATTAGCAAGAGAACTGACTCCTTGGATGCAGTTAAACAAGTGCTTTGTTCCAGCGCCTTCAGGGTCATCCTCATTTCGCTTCAACTTTGACTCAATGTCTGAAATAACCAACACAATTTTGGAAATCGAATTCACTCACAGAAAATTTTCAAAGCTAGGTGCTAATATGTCGAACTGACCGTCGATAGTGGTCTTGCAAGAGACAAAGCAATCAAAGTTTTCTTTGACCAACTGCTTTTTCTGTTGGGTACGTCCTCTGAGATCAGTCTTTAGTGAAAGACCACCAGATTCCAAATCTGCAACACTAGTTTCCATGTGGACTCGAGATAGAAATAGTTTTGCATCGAATTTCTCCAAGTAATAGTTTAATTTTTCTGCAAAACCATGTAAACAAGGTTGCCTTTTAACACAACTTAAGTAGCTCAGTAACTTAAACTAAGTAACAGTAAGACAACGGCTGCAACTTAACCACAAGTAACCAATGTAAAAAAAAAATCATATTGGTACAAACTCAAGTTCTTCACTTTCTGATAAAAAAATCAAACGTCACGGAACCTAGTAACTATTATACGGGGTGTTAAGCTGTAGAACGGTTTAAACTCTCCTAAAAGGTTGTAAAAGTTGCCTACTGCAAGGGGTTAATATGATCAGTCCAATAAACAAATAGCCAGCAGAAGATATGGACAGCCAGTGCAGTTTGCAGAATGAGAGACAAACTGTGAGAACTGAGAAGGCAATTAATTTCTAAAACTAATAACACCAGTTACATGTTGTTGTTGTTATTTTAAAGGAGGGTAATAATAATAAAGAAAAATAAATAAATAAAGCAAATACCCCGAGCATTAGGATCAAGAGGTTCCAGATCAATGGAGGGTGAAGGAGCATTTGCTATATTATCGCTGATCAACCTAAATGTTTTGTGGTTAATTAGCCTGTCCATTAGAGAGATCAGGTCAGCACTAAATCCGTAAAATAACGGTGGAAAAACAACCCAAGCAAGAAAAACTTACCCAAGTCCAAGAGGATCTACCCATTCCATGCCTCGAGGAAGTGACTGTAAATGGGTTAGTGCTTTTGGTTTCCGCCCAAACTTTTGAGCCACAGGGACTGCACGTGTTTCCCTCATCTCGCGGACCCTCCTGGCCAGCTACCCAATGAATTTTTCAAAAACTAATGCAGTTAGCACCGATTACCAGACATATGACCGCCAATCAATAATTACTCGTAAAGCCTGAATAGAGAATGACAACATAAATAACTTCAGACCTCAAGATACAATTGGTAAGTTTTTTACTCCTTTTTTAGTAGCAAGTGAGGTGTACATGAGATAAGTTGCAATTTTGTCAAATGCTAAAAATGCATAAATTAAGACACTGATGTATTTTCCTATCCAAGTAATTCTGTCAGTGTTAATTAGAAATATTCAATTTGAGATTGGAATCAACGCACATGAAACAAGGAAACCACTGAATTTTGAGGTACTTAAACAAGAAGTTACAATCCAAGACTCAACAAGCTAGAATCTGAAAGAAAACAGTAAAAAATACAACACAGCAGTTGAAAACAGATACTCGATATCTTATATCATGGAGCATTTATCTCCTCACTCCCACCAATATATCAGTAACTTCTGCAATTTAGATACCTATAGGATAAATAAGTGCCTAAAATGTGGCTGATCTAGAGCTAATGACCTTTAACTCAAACTAAGGCCAATAACAGAGAAATTAGCATCCATTAATCTGTACAAGTACCAGACTCCCCCACCACATGACTTCAGCAAGACACCACTTCAATGAATGAATAACAGAATTAACCAATCCACTTCAATTAACTACGAACCACGCACGAGCTACATACACACACATAAATCAATACACCATACATTCACTGGCATAAGAAGATACACCACCATACCTCAGCTTCATCAACGTGCTTCCAGAAGGTGGGCTCCTCTCCATCCCACTTGTCATCCTCCCTTCCGCTGCCGACGCGTTTCCTGGGGACCACACCGCCTCGATCATCCTCGTCCCCAGACGAAATGCTCAACAGCTCCACCTCCGAATCCTCGTCCTCGTCCAATGACAGCTTCGTCTGCTTGCCGACCCCCTTCTTCTGCTGTGGAATCCCCGCCGCGCCGGGGTTCCTCGCTGGCCCGCGGGTCGGCGGAGGCTGGACGTAATTGCGGACGGGCTTCTGCGTGGCCTGCGAGGGCTTCTTGTAATTGAGATCGCGCTGCGACTGCTCTTTCAGCGCCATCTGCAGCAGCTCGTCCTCGTCCAAATCGTCGCCGTCGCTCGACATTTTGTCCCAATTCGAATTTGTCGGTAGTAACGTGTGGATACAGGCAGCTGTATCTATGTAAGCGAAATGTGTGAAATTTCTCAGGGAATGGATCTCTGTGTGTGTGTGTGGAGAGATAATTGATGAAATTGAGAGTTGTGAAGAGACAATGCGCGCTTGCAGAGGGCCGTCCGAAGAAGGCGATGGGTAGGAGACTAGGAGGATCTGATGCGTCGCGGTCGCGGGTTATACTATGAGTTTTACAACTGCTGTCTGTAGGTGAGCTATCAATCAAAACGTGTTGGTCGAACTCGTTTAGTTAATAGCACGAGCTATTAAAATTAAAAAATACAAAATTTTATATAAATTTTTATAATTTCTTCCATTAAATCTCAAGTTCGATTTACTAATATTGATAAAAGGAATGAGTTCAAGTGTATTTATTAATTACCTCGATAAGGATTCAAGCTATAGTTTAACTGTTTAAGTAGTAGATGCTCGAACTTGATTCAACTCCTTTAGAAGACCATTATGATAGTCAAACTTTGGAAGCGAATTTTTTGAAATCTATAATTTTCTGCCAAAACAAAATTTACTAGCTTAATATGATTTTTTTTTTAATATTTTTTTTTCTAGTTCTTTTCGGTAAATTTCTAGATGAGACTTTTATTTTATTTTAGATAATATGATATGAATAACTAATCTGAATTTAGTCAGACCTTTTTTCAAGTTTAAGCCAAGAAGATCAACGACGTTCTAGGCGACATTCAACCTACATTTGCCGTGAAGCTCATGCAACATAACATTTGATTTGAAAAAAAAAAAGCTTTCATACTCTCAAATCAATGTTGTTCATGTCCAAACCCGTCTCTAAGAAGGATCAAATAAGAAAGATCATCAAAAAGTCATTTTCGATCATAAAATTTATTGTTACAAATTTGGCACGTCCGGTGAGACCTTCTTTACATCTCATTTCTTCTCTTCAAATTAATTTCTATTAAGTTTGGAGAGGCATGAAAATTTCTTGAAGAAAATACACGGGGGACAATTGAAGATTATGTCTTCTTAAGCCACAAAAAAATCGTAGACTTCATCAAATTCATCCGAATGGAGTCAAGCAAAAGAGGCTCTACATGTCCTTCTCAAAGCAAATTTCGTGGGGGCAATTTACATGAAGAGCTCCATTAAATCAAATTCAAATGCTCTTTTATAGGAGTCTTAACTATTTAAGACGTCCCTTGATATGAGCTTAAACTATCTACATGGCTACTTGACACAAGCATAAAATGTCTACAAAATTAAGATCTCGGTGGTAAAATAACAAATGTCTATAAATCATAATGCTTCTTGATACGAGCATAAACCATTTAAATATTGAAGGCTCCTTGAGACGAGTATAAAAACATCTACAAATTTGAAGACTTCTTGATAAAAATATAAAAGGTCAATAAATCAAATAAAATCTCTTTTGGCATGAGTATAAACTGTTTTCAAATCAAATCAATCCAAGAATTCTTTGGTACGAGTATAACTATGTAAAAATCACACTAAACCATAACTCCTTGAGACAAGTATAAACTGTCTGTCAAATCAAATCAAGACTCCTTAATACGAGTATAAACTATCTACAAATTAAGTAAATTGAAAAACTCATTGATACGAGTTTAAACTATCTAAAAATCCAAGTCGAAGAACTCCATGATACAAGTATAAATAATCTGCATTTCTCAATCAAATCCAAAATTTTGAGACCCGTACGTTACCATGACATTTTGTCCATGCACAAGTCTCAAGGGGACATTTGTCAATATTAAAATTTTATTATTTTATTGTGTCTTTATTTATTTTTAGACATAAATCCAAGATAAATAAGATATTAATTAATAAAATAATTATTCCTTGTTCACTAAGTCAAATGTTAGGATAAGAAAAAATCTTAATATAAGGAAAAAGATTACATCAAATCATGAAGGACCAAAATTGACGACTTCTTCTCCAAAACGCTCTCTCTCTCATACACTTATAAATAAAATGTTCTCCCTAAGTCAAAATCACAACTATAAATCAAAACCTCAAATTAAAAAACACTCCGTACTTCTCTTGAAAATTAAAAGGCGTTCTTGAAGATCTAAGGGCATTCAAGTCGAAGATCACCACCGAGCCTCCGGAGTACATTTAAATGGAGAAAAATTCTAAGAAGAACAAAAAGAAGGCGATTAGTCTCCAATAATAAATAGAGACATCCACTCCTCACAAATCAATCCGAGAACATCAACGGCTTCCAAGCGACATTCAAGGCACATTGGTTGAAAAGTTCAAGCAATGCAGCGTTTGATCCGCGAAAAAACTTTCAAGCCCTCGAGTCAATATTATTCAAGTCCAAAGCAATTTTCGAAGATCCAACACTATAAAAAAAATGTTATATTTCAACTGAAAATCGTACAGTAATATATTCCAAGGAAAATTCTAACGGATATTCTAAGGTGTAGCTTCCATTAAAATGATTTCAACGGAAATTTCAACTAAAATATTCCGTTGTAATTAGTTTTCCATTGAAGTTGTATATAAAATTTGATTAAAATGTTTAAAACGATTTTGTTACCGTTGAAATATGCAATTTCTATTAAAATTATTTTTTTTACCCATATTTTAACCATTAGAAAATCTATCGTTGAAATCGTTAAAATCCAACGAAAATTCCAATGAGAAACTTATTCCAACGATTGTTGTTGGAATTTCCGTTGGAATCTATTGAAAAATTCCAACAACTACAATAGCATTGGAATATTCATTAGAACTGTCATTAGAATTTTATTGGAATATATTTTTGTTGGAATTTGATCTTTTTCTTGTAGTGAAAATCCAAGTTCGAGAAGAATCAGAGATAAACAGATATTGTACCGCAATATCGTTTGATCGAAATAATAATAAAATTTTACAAATGTTTTATGTTTTTTCATAAAATTTATTGCTACAACAACTAAGTAAATCAATTATTATGTTAATCTTGGTTGATACATTTTAAGTTACTATTGTCTTGAGATTTAGTTGGGAACGTTCATGGTTTTATACTATTGTTGTTTTAGCTAGGATTGTAAGTATAGCTTAGTTTACCAGCACCAATCACCAAAATATTGCGTTCGGTTTCTTTGTACGGTTAATTGTGGGTTGCAGGTTTCTCCTTTAACTAATAAACTCCCTTTTCCGTCCCGTTATGTGTATAGAAACACACAAGGGCAATGATGGCGACGAGATCGCATTGGCGTATCTGGACAAGTTTGATCGCCTTCATATCTAGTTATTTATTTAGTATTTATAGCCTTTTATTTATTTTCAATGTTTAGGATATTTATTGCTTAAAATAAGAAGTTAGGGTTTGGGGGAGTTTATTTAAATGAGAAGAGTTCTCATTGTAAGGGGTGAACGATTGAAATAAAAAATTATCTCTTTGAGTTCTTGTTTAGTAGTGTTTTTGGGCATGTGGTAACCAAGCTACCTGACTCGGGTCGTTCTCAAAGGAAGGCTGTTCGGAGCTTCGTTCACTACCTAGTCGTCAAAGTCACATAACCAAAAACAAGATCCTAAACATGCTACTCGCTTAATTGGGGATGATTGCACGAAATTAAGCTAAGAATCTAAGAGCAAATGATGAAAAATGCAAGAATCGAAAGAGAGATCAAGACATTGGTTGCACGGAGTATCCATAACTCAAGAAAATAAAAGAAAACAAGAGAAAACATGCGAGCATAGTGATCCTAAATAATCTAACACGAGCTTTCTACACTAAATCATCACGCTTTGAACAAAGTCGAGACGTTTATACTAGATAAGCACGTATAGATCCCTAACACACGTAAGCAAGCAATAAAAATAAAGCAAAAACCTAGAAACGAGCATAAACACAAAATCGAAAGAACAAACTCGAAGTAGTAAGTCCTAAGTAAGGTACTTACTCTCTTATTGCGTGCCCGGATGAAAATAATGAATAAAGCTCGAAACTTGAATGAAAATAAACTTGCCGGAATTTTGCCAGAAAAATGAGTTATGAACCTCCAACCAAAGCATAAAAAACAGAAAAGAGAGAGAAGAGAGAAAATGGAGAGGATTTCCCAACTTAAAAGTTGGGAAATGAGGGTTGTGTCCAAAAATTACAAAGCACAATGTCTTTTTATAGCTACACCACAAACACACACTAAAAACATGCACATTTAGTATAATACTCTCGAGCTCTCCAAAATTTCCGCGCGGTCGCGAGTTAGCAGGGCACTGGGCTCACTCGCGAGGTCGCGGGCTGGTCCGTTGGGTGCGGGC